ATATTTGATCCTCTTTTTCTTTTGAGTAGACTTTTCTGTCCTTGTTAGATGTCTCTTGTATTTGTGCTGGTCTTGGCCTGCATTTCACAGGTTATACTGGTTCTGTAAATTTTAACTGGTATCAGACGTAATGCATAAAGCTTTGAATTCTTACATTGTTCAGTTGATTTGAGGAACTGGGGATTTTAAGTGTTTCTGGTTTTTGCTACCCTATGTTTAATAGGTGTACAAAGAACAGGTTCTAGAACCTATGTTGAACGGAACTGAAAAAACTCCAGCATTAATTTCTGACTATAAGGAATACCACACTGATACGACTGTGAAATTTGTTGTGAAGATGACAGAAGAAAAACTTGCACAGGCAGAAGCTGCTGGATTGCACAAAGTTTTTAAGCTTCAAACAAGTCTTACTTGTAATTCTATGGTAACTTTTTCATGTTTGGCTATCAGAATCCTTACGGTTGTTTGTTGTAAACTCAAATGTTTTTGTAGTATGCTTTAGTACTTGGTATTGAACAGTGTATTGTGTATTTGAAATTGTTTGAATAGCAGAAAATTGTAGTGATGGCAAATATTAAGTCAGTATGAGTCAGCAAATCCATTTGAGTCCTGATGAATCTTTCAAACAAAATTAGACAGGCTGGGGGTGGTTAGTTTCCTGTAACTGAAAATTTCCCATGCAGCTAACCAAAAATGGTTAATATAAAGTAGATCATACAAATAACTTTCTGCCATATAATAATTAGATTTGAGTTTTAAACTTCAGACAAGCTGCATTTTCAAAATTGTACTTTGTGCAGGACTATTAGTCCTCTAATTAGGAGTTAAATGATGCAGTGTTTCCACCACCAACATATATCCCATTTTAGGTTGTACAGTACAGAAAACACTATCCTTAAGCTGCTGGAGACATAATATAGTGACGTAAATTACTCATAGGGTTTATTTTGCTTGTAGCAAGATGGGAGTAAAAATGTGAGTAAATATAGGTCTGTCTATTACAAGAAGGATTTGAATTGTAAGATAATTTCTGCCAGAATATTTCCAAACAACCTGTCTTTACAGAGACTGAAAAAACGGTTGGTGGTGTTCGTTTTTTTGGCAGATAGTACTTTCAGATATTATCACAAAGCAAAAATACCATTAGTGTTGCTATTATTGAATAAATCAAAAGCTATGTGAAAATAGGTTAAAAATAAATTAAAGACCGTAGAACTGGAAAAGGAAGAAATCCTTGCTCAACTCATTTTGTAGATTATGCTTGAAAAGCGAATCTACCAAATCAAATGATAGTATTTCTCACAGGTTTAAACACTGTACAAATTACTGTGAGAATCTGTCTTCAAATTAATGTTTAACAGAGTACAAAATGTTTTGCAGCTTAATCCTGCGTTTTCTGCCTACTGAAATAAATAGTGAGGGCTGCTTTCTGTGTATGTGTAGGAATGAATCTGCCCTAGCGTAAGCATCTTAAAAAGTTACGTGAGCTAGTTATTGTTCACCCAGCTCCCAAGTAGATACCTTAGACAGATGAATTGTCCTCTAGTGGGGCTTATTTCTTTTAGTTGACTATAGGGAGTGCTGAGGGTGACTAGTTCACCTATAAATGTCTGAACTGGAGATGTCAGAAATCAGGCAGGATGGATTCCACCTATGATGTAAAAACGATTTAACATTGTTTGTGCTTAAACTTAAAAGATGGCAGCTTTCACAGCTGAAAAGTGGCAGATTTCATATAGCTGAACCGAAAGATATTAAAGACACTTTTCAACTGTTATGTGAAATAGTTGTGACTCTTCAGGTGCTACTGAACTTGTGCTTTAATATTTAGATAAAATGAGTCGTCGACTGAATTCAGGCATATTTCTCTATATAGCTGTCTTCCTGTTTGAACGTGTACCATAAATCTCATCTTAAATCTACTTATGAATAAAAACAAAGTCTACCCAGTTATGTGCTGTGTAGTTCCATAGTAAGGTTTGAATTCACAGTCTTCAAAATACCACTTTGTGTATGGTGCATGTATATATGCAGTGGAAATCAACTCGTACACAAAGATTAACAAAGTTGGAGTTACGCAATCTATCTCAAGCAGTATATTATGTATTTTACAGGTGCTGTTTGATCATATGGGATGTTTAAAGAAGTATGAAACTGTGCAAGACATTTTGAAGGAGTTCTTTGATTTGCGATTACATTATTATAGTTTACGCAAGGAATGGCTCGTGGGAATGTTGGGTGCCGAATCTACCAAGCTTAACAATCAAGCTCGTTTCGTTCTAGAGAAGATACAAGGAAAAATTACTATAGGTGAGTAAATGTAAGTTAGAATTGGTAACAGCAGGAGAAAATCTAGAAATGATTTAAATATAGTAGAATGTACTTGCATGTAAGACATTTATTTTCATAATGTTGTTGGTTTTTTTTTTTTCTTCCACCACCCCCCACCCCACCCTGGTTATGTGTGTGTGTCTTGTAGAGAACAGATCAAAAAGAGATTTGATTCAGATGTTGGTCCAGAGAGGTTATGAATCCGATCCAGTAAAAGCCTGGAAAGAAGCACAGGAAAAGGTAATAATCTGAATTCTCTGGATATATTTGATGCTGTTAATGTTATAAATTATATTAATTTATTCAGCTGTTTGTTTTCTAGTAGTCTCATCTAATTTATAACATACATAACACTATAAAAAGATTGTTCATTACTCTTTATTGACTTCCATTTTTAAAAATACGTTAAACTTGTATAAAAATATTGTCACATAATATTGTTATCATGTATGGATAATTCTTAGAAGAAGACTAGATAATACAACTCTGAAAATGACAATGCAGAGGATTGAATTTCTTAATGTACCCAAATCAAAATGGACAACTTGATGTCTGACTGACTGATACATAAAATGCTGCATCAGTAACCCTACACATATAACTGATATTCGCTTAATTATTTATTTGTCATATGATTGCAAACCCTAATTATTTACATATAACTTATTCATTAATTTTCTGTAATGAAACATGAATATTATAAAGCTAAGAGTCTTGAACTTACTTCAGTAAATTTGACCTTAACCTGTATTTATTTCTCCTTTTTTAAAACCCAAGATATTTTTTTATTATTCCAAAAGAGACACGTGACAAGTTTAATTTCATGCTTTACTGTGGGAAGGTGAAACTACTTTCAAAAGCAAATTCAAATTTCTGTCAGCCACCTCTTTTCTGTGCCATTGCCACTGCTTTTGCTATTTGTTTTAATTTCTCATTTGATTTGTTTTGCTTTTTTCTTACTACTGTGTTTTAATTCCATGCAGTGTGTTGTATTTTATAACACAACTATTATTATGAGAAATTTTGATCCACTTCCAAACCACAGTTTGTACATTCAGAGCTTCGATAGCAGTTTTCATCCAAAAGACTGTGCTCATTTCTAAAAAACCAGATATACATGAATATCCCAAGGGCAAAGGTCTCAACCCTGTGAGATAGTTAGGACAGTACCAATATCTGTAGCCAACAGCATACGAGACATATAGCTACCATCAGGTTCAGATTCATTTTCTTAAATCAAATGATTAAATAATCCAACTATAGAAGGTCACAGGAACATGGTCTTTTGGAGAGGTCCAGAAAAATGTTAAGGTTATTGAATCTATGAGGGCACACCTTACTACTCTATGATGGTCCTTTGGATCAATGTTACAGTTCATGCATAGAACTAAGATTGCTAATACTTGTAACTGTGGATATTTCACTTTAGGCAGCAGAAGAGGAGGACTCGCAGAACGCAAATGATGATGCTTCATCTGCTTCTGGCTCAACTTCGGGCCCTGACTTTAACTACATTTTAAACATGTCTCTCTGGTCACTCACGAAAGAGAAAGTAGAAGAGTTAATTAAGCAGAGAGATTCAAAGGTTGGTACACCATGGAAGGCTTGCTCCGAAATGGTAGAGTAATTACTGATGTGTCTAGTTGTGAATGTTCAGTTTTGATAGTATTTTAGTTATAACTTAGTAACTTACATTCTACATACTACTTTCATGTTTTAGGAGAGAGAACTAAATGACCTTAAAAGGAAATCATCTTCAGATCTCTGGAAAGAGGATTTAGCAGCCTTTGTTGAAGAGCTTGAAGTATGTTTTATTTTGCGTATCTTTCTAAAAATAATAAATTTAAGTTAATTTAATTAAAAGCATTGATTAATTAAAAGTATTAAAATTCAAGCAAAAAGTAATAAAAAAATACCACATTTTGGATTAAAAGCAGATAGACCTCCAAATATAGTGATAAGTGGGCAATCAGTATTGGGTGTCTGTGTTCCTAGGGGATTGTCTCTTGCGTCTACACAATTTAATGTTTTTTCCAAGTCAGTGATGATAAAAGTTACCGGGAGAAAATTTGTTTTCAGATGACACAAAAAGCTGGGAGTAGTAACTGGTAATAGCAATAATTATAGTAGTTCTACATGATCTAATTGGTTGTGAGGCAATAAATACTGTCAAATGCAAAGCTGTATGTGTCGGAACAAAGTACGTACATATAAGTACATACAATTACTATATGAAGGGCCTCATCATTAACGCTGGAAAAAGGTAAAGTCCTGTCGACGTGTAACTTGCTGAGCCTCGGCTGTCAATGTTGCCTGAAAAGGACTGATATAATCTTTTGAAGTGACACACGTCGATACAAATAAGACGTTTGTTTTATTTCTCTGTGTGAGTATGGTGCAGCTGCAACTGGAAGTGTTCTGCTTGGATGTCTGTATTTCAACTGTATGTTCATAGTGTGAAAAAAGCTGATTAAAGGACTAGAAAATGTGTCTTAAAAATCACTTTAGGAACTAGCTGCTTAAATTAAATGTTGAAATACTAAAGTACCCAGACACATTCATGAGAAATAAAAACTTATAAAAGAAAGATTTTTTCAGTCTAGCAGTGTCCAAAAGTTTGTATTTGTTTAATCTTGAATAAAAGTGTAGTTTTACCCTGTAGAGGGTAATGAAGAATTTGCCAAGACTGAGTGATTGGTTTTCCATTACTAGAAAGTGTATCACAATTCAAGTGAGAGTTAAGGGAAGTCTTATCCTCCATGTAAAAAGGAGATGAATCTTAAATAATCACTGTGTTCCACTTTGTCCTCATTAAAAAAGAATGTGTTCCCCTCCCCTCCTTGTTTGTTAGAAAGTAGAAGCACAGGAAAGAGAAGATGTTTTGGCTGGCATGGTTGGCAAACCCATAAAAGGCAAAGTTGGTAAACCCAAGATGAAGAAACTTCAGTTGGAAGAGACCATGCCGTCTCCATTTGGCAGAAGAATAGTTCCACAGATTACATCTGCCATGAAAGCTGATGCCAGTAGGAAATTGCTGAAAAAGAAAAAGGTAAATCAAAACTATCGCTATAGTTAGATTATTTATTATTGAACTGCTGTATTTTTCTACTCTGGTAGCATAAATCCAAACCGCTAGACCTCATTAATTCTGTATTTATACTGTTTTGCTGACCTAATGCACGAAGAAGTTAATACGGGATTTCTTCTACATTTGCAAGCCTGTTGTCACTACTTATTGTTCAGCTCGTTTTATTGAGATTTCTTCTTTCCAAGACTATTCAACAAATGTCAATATACTAGCCTACTTCCATTTATTATCTTCTACAAAACTATTCCAGTTCTATCTTGAAATATAAAGGCGTAATTTATTTTGTTTTGCCCAACTTTTTAATATTTTTAGGGTGAAACTGATTCTCTAGCAATAAAAATGGAATTTGATGAAGAATTTGGTGGTGTGCCAGCTGAGGGTGGTGGAGATGACTCACTGAATACATCAGCCACAGCAACTAAAACCCCTAAACCTAAGAGAGAGAAGAAGGAGCCTGGTAAGATCCTTACAAGTCATAGTTAACCTTAGCTGTGTATACTAATTGGGCATTAAATATGTTTTTAATGCATGATGAGAAGGAAATATACCACAATAATCACTATTTAATCTGATTTTCTTCCCTATCTATCTTTTTCTTCCCTATCTAATGAGATATGTGGAAACATGTGAAAGTACTTTGCTGAAATTTCTGTTATGTTCGCTGCTTTGCTGAGGGTGGTGTATCTTACGTTTTCTACATTCAATTTTCTTTTTTTGGGTCTGAATCTTTGAACTTGTGAGTAGAAAAATAGATGATTTTTACATAATTAGACTAATTCTGTGCAAACTGAGATTTCTAGTTTGCGTGCTCTCTGACATTGAAGGGCATGGCACTTACCTTCAGTCTAATAGTATAGATTGTAAAACTTGATTAAATCAATATATTTTCCTATTGACATATTCAGTCATTCTGACTTTTAAAAAGTTATGCATGTTATGGCTTGGCAGACTAACCAATGTCTATGTTAACTTTCTTTTTTCCTCTGTTAGTAGGAATTGACTATTACTGCTTGAGAAATACATAGGATTGGGGGGACAGCAACAAAAAACAATGTTAAAGACAGAAGAGAAGATTTAAGTATGAGGTTTTTTTTTAAAAAAAAGAAGGAATAAAAAGCGGTTATATGAATACTTGTTCTGAGATAAGGTCTGGTTTAATTATTCAGGGCATTATCCAACCTGAATAGATTAACTGAGTTCTGAGTTGTCTACATGCAGCTCGAATCTACCCTAGCTGGTGTTGAGCCAGAGCCAATTAGCCCAGCTTGACCTGAGCTTGCCCTGCAATTGACTGACCACATTGTTATCCCCCAATAGGGTATCCTCTGCTTCCCATGTTAATTGGATTTTTCCAATAATTGTTTCTGATCATGTTCCCGGAATAATGGAAAACTGCTTGTTCTTTTCTTGGAAAACCCCAGCAACCTTTACAAAAAATGGAAGTTTGACTGCAGAGCTGCTAAGACTTCGAATTAGAGACTTTTATGTTTTCAAGTTATAAAGCAAACTTGTTTGGCAGCAGCAGGTCAGGTGGTCAGGTTCTGTGTGAAATAATTTCATCATGTTGAATTTTTCTTCAGGAAAGAGAAGACAATTTACAATGCTTAAAGGAGAACTTTTTAAGATGAAAATTTATGCTAAATTTATGCATCATAAACAATGACAGTTATGTAGTAAATGCTTTAACTTGTGTCAGGTACTAGGGTAAGAAGAACACCATCATCTACGAAATCCAGTGCAAAAAAAGTGAAGAAACGAAACCCATGGTCAGATGATGAATCCAAGTCTGAAAGTGATTTAGAAGAGAATGAGCCTGTGATTATTCCAAGAGACTCTCTGCTTAGGAGAGCTGCAGGTACCCAAGCTTTTGTGAATTGCGCATTGTGACTGAACGTTTCAGCTACAAACCTACATTTTCCTTTGAACATAGCCTTCCTTTAGGACTTTATCTCCTACAGATAGCTTGCATTATATTTTCTTTGCTGTTAGTGAAAAAAACCCTTAATGTCAAGACCAGAAACTTAAGAGTTGACACGAAAGATTTTGTAACTTGGTCCAGAAATCTCTTCCCTTATTCTAAACACTAGAATAGAAATTCCTCACAAATCCTATGAGGTTTTGTGAGTAACAGGGGAGGTCCCAGACAACTGGAGACTTTCCAATATGACACCCATCTACAAGAAGGACCAGAGGGAAGATCCGGGGAACTACAGGCCTGT